TTCACTAACCATTCCTTGTGACTCATGGAATTTACTGGGTAATTCAGAGACATCACACGTTGAGGTTCAGAGAAGATTGATGTCATCTCTACAAATGAGGATAATGGGACTAGGGCATTGCCACTTGGGATGAGTGACCTTGCAGCAAGGTACTGTAAGGTCCCAGGGTTCTTACCTGCAACTGGGGTGAAAAGAAAACCCACTTCACAGAGCTCTGAGGATTAACGAGCTCATCTGCCCATGCCCAGGCCCCATGGCACACCCAAGGGTGACGACTTGCACTAGACAAACCCTCCCCTCTCCCTACCGGAATGATCCCTGTGTATTTTCCTCCTTGAACTTACGTCATACTTGACTGTGAGTGTGACGGGGACAGCGGGCAACTTCTGAGCCCAGGTCACAGCTGCTTGTGCCAGGAGGAATGCCACGTGGTCTGTGGCTAACGTCACAGCTGTGGCAACCAGGAGCAGTACCGGTAGCCCCAGCCTTAGGAGACAACTCAACAGCTCCTCCTGTGACAGCTTTGGACTAACCGCCCGAAGCAGCCAGAAGGGTGGAGAGGTCAGCAGGTGTGTGGCCCGGGCCTGGGTCAGCTGCTGAACCAGCTGCTGAGTCATGTAGATATTGTCAAATTGCAGGTCAGTGAGGTAGTGATGGAGGTACCAGGTAGACTCCACCCAGAGGCCCAACATAAACAGCCCTGTGACCACCCTCTGGGTGCCCAGCATCCCTGCCTGGGCCAGGGCCTCCAGGCCAGAGAAGTCCTCCAGGATCTGCTGTATGACCCCGTGCATGTGAAGGCGGAAAGCAGAGCCATTGCCCTGGACCTCAAATGCCAGGCTCCGGTGGCCTGCTTGGTGGACAGGGCCCAGTGCTCCTGATGCCTCATGCAGCTGGTGGGTGGTATTGAGCAGACTCTCCATGGAGCCCTCGGTGACACATCTCAGTACCTGCCCTGCTGTACCCACATTGGCTAAGATGTTGGGCACCACAGCTACAGTCAGGGTGGCTGCACTGTAAGACAGGAGCAGCCTGCGGCCCTGCTCGGTGCCCAGGGTGGGCACACTGAGTACAAACAGGCATCGGACAGGGGGTACCAGGATCAGACTTAGGAAGACAAGGAGGCCACAGGCAGTGGTCACTAGGGCTGAGGGTCCCAGAGGATAAAGCTGTGAAGAGACCAGCCAGTGATGGAGCAGACCTGTAGTTGTACCAGCCAGGAAAGCACACAGGAGTAGCTGAGTCAGCAGCTGGCCACAGCTGGCTGGAACAGGCCGGGAGAAGGTATCCCAGGCATCCTGTAGTAGGACAAGTGCTCTGTAGATCCCCAAGTGCCAGAGCCTGCACCTGCATGCAAGGAAATAGGGGGAGCCTGTATCAGGAGGGTGGGATGCCCACTGTCCCACCAGCCAGCCATAGCCTGCTAGCAAATGCAACCCTCATAGCCTCAGGGGTAGGCACCCTTTCCAGGTGGACCAATCAGAGGTACTCCACCTGCCCACATGACACAGGACGACTCATTCAGAGCCTTCCCCAGGATTATTCTCAGAGGAGTTGCCAGGCAAGAATCCAGTACCCTAAAGTACTAGAGGATGTGTGCTGGGTGTCTGGGCTGCCTAATGCCATAGTTAGCATCTTGTGAGAGTTGTTGATGGGTTATGGAGAGAAGAGAAACTCAGATAAAATAGAGGACAGAGAGAAGCACACAGTCCATATAGTCCA